AAATAAAATTTTTCTGAAGGCTACGATGCCTCCGACGCTGAAATCAAACAAAGTAACAATAGAATATATATATATATATATATATATATATAGAGAGATCATTTGACTCAAGAGTAAGACTTATAAGTCTTACTCTCCATCCTAACCGTTGATTTTCGTCCATCTAACGGTTATAATTTAGGAAGTTATATTAATTAATTAATTATTAATTATACTATTAATGACAACCGTTGATTTTCGTCTGTAACATCCCCGTCTCGAGCCGGTTCAATTAACATACATATGATAAAACAGAAAACAGCGGAAGACTTAACTTCTGAAAATACGAGCTAACTTTTTTTTCTTTTTCTTTTTAAATTCTCATTCGTCGTAAACGAAAATCGGGCAGAGTTTCCTCTATAAATCGGACAACTGGGGATTTTCCAATCCCACACAGAAGCATTTCCTGATAAACAGTTTATACAAATATACTCAAATGCCCATCCATGGGCGCATGCATAACTTGGCTCAGTGCCACTATATCTAACAGCATGCAATCCAACAGGTAAACATATCTGAATACTACCTCATCACATAACGTGCCTGAATACCCAAATGTACATGCATCAAAGCGACAGACGTGTACAAAACATATACAGGCCATATACAAAATAAAGGATCAATATCATGATCCATCAAATGCGAAAATACTAAAATACATCAAACACTCCAAAAAGGTAGTAGCCTACAGCCACTCAAAATCCGGTCTGTCAACTGCCTCAGCCACGTGTCGGGTCCCTGCCTAGTGAGGACTCACTGGGAATCTGGGCACCTGAAAATATGTCCCCAAAGAGGGGTGAGATTACAAATCTCAGTAAGCTCCAGGTTTATAGAGAATTCTCCATACCCCTGGCTCACTCCTGCATGAAAGTCAGATACAGAGTATACAAATACAACATATAACAGATATCATAACAGAACAGAGCATATATCCATATCATATCAGAGATGTGCGCCGTCATTCCCAAGGGAGGACCCCAAGCGGAAATCAACGCACGTGTTCCCGAGGGAGGACCCCAAAGCGGAACCAGACATATCAGAGGCGTACACCATCAGTCCCGAGGGAGGACCCCAAAGCGGACATCCGGGTACTATACAATCAATGGCCAGAGATTGTTACAGAAATCATATTACAGAAGTCATATCAGAGCAAAACATATCATGTTATCAAATAACTCTATATGAATGCATCTATACAAAGCATCTAAATCACAGTCATACAGTCCAACCATAGTTCACTAACCATGGTGGAGCACTCAAGCAGGAAAAGACTCCTTAAACATAGAGCTTACCTCTTGAAGCTTTACCAATACGCTTACTTGTGGAACAAGTTACTTTTATCACTTCAAGAGATTTCCGATCCTTCTCAATCCCTAGGCACACCTATAGAATAATTTACAATGCATCAATAAAATGATGCAATACCATAATTATTTCATAAGCATACATTTTATCGCTTATTTTCCTTTCTTTGCATTTTTGCCAATCCTATGCCAATACACAAGTCTAGACCTCTTTATAACCGTTGGTGTTCTTTAATTTAATCAACCATTCCCTTAGGAATTTTCAACATAAATCATGCTACTTTTCTTCAAAACTCATCACTTTTATACAATTTATTACAACACATTTTATTTAAAATAAAATGTACAAGATATATCCCTAAATACCCTATAGGTCGAATCCTATAAGGGGAATTTCCAAAGATCCTTCTCTTTTACAATACATTTTCGTTACTTCATTACAACTTGCAAACACCTAGGAATGCTTCCACTAAATTCCTATTTTGAGTTTAGACACCAAGTCCTTTTTACTTAGGCATTCTTACTAACTCATCCATTTTCACTCATTTCCAACACACTATACCTTCACAATACATATATAATTTTTTCCACAATAACTCCTACTCACTCCATGATGGCCGAAACCTAGGAGGAAGATGCAATAGGACTTTTAAATTTTTATATCACATGTGGATGCTTACTCAACACTATAACTTCCTAAACAACAATAATCCATCATAAATTTCACATTCTAACATCAATTATTTCCCAATAAAATATGCTCATCAATTTCATAACTTAAATCATCAAAATAATATCATGGAAATAGAGGTTTCTTACCTCTAAACACTTGTACAAAGCCTAGAGAGCAATCTCCAAGCCAAGCTCCATCCAAAAACTCACTTTTTCTCCTCCAATGAATAGTAACTCGAAAATGAGAGGAGGAATAACTCTTCACACACTCAACTATAGCTCAAATGGATAGGTGGAATGGATTCATTGAGTGGTTTCCAATCAATTTCATGTGGTGGGTCATTGGATTTGGTGGATGGATGATGAAGAAATCAAAGAAGGAAAATTTGAAACCCTAGCCCCTTCCCCTCCATGTGCAGCTCGGCCATGCAAGAGAGAGAAGAAGAAAATCTGAAATGAATAGTGTTTCATTTAAGTGACAAGGCTATATAGGCACATGTGGCCATTTTCATCGGATATTTTTTTATCGCGTATTTTAACTTAAATTGACCCGGAACTAACTTAAAACTACGAACATATTTTTATTTTTCTAAAATCATTTACATTAATTTTTATCTATTACAAAACAATATTCATAATTCACAGTATGGTTTCTGCACCGTTTTTGACGAAATGCACTGTGAATCACTAATTGTACTTTATTTACTTTTAAAACTTAACACTTATAAACTTATCATTTTCTTGGGCCTATATTGACTTGCTTGGCATATATTGGACTTTCTTATTCTTATTTCATCAATTATTTATTTCTGGACTCTACCGGTTGCTTAAACAGCAGTACAAAATACCCGGTAGAAACACTATTCACGAGATTTTCACGGAAAGTGCCAGACTATACAATTTTTCGTTCTGAACTCATATTTGTCATCAGAATTTTCAAATTATGTTCCTAAAATTATTTTGCTTTATTTTAAGCTCTACCGGTTAATTCACAAAACTGTAAATTCTCCGGCAGAACGCACTGTTCATAACATAGTCATGATTACAGTCAAAATACTCGAAATCGCTCACTGAATCTAATTATGGCATTTAAATCCTTAAATTAAATCTCTAACTAAGATTTACCAGTTAGGGTCATTATATCGTCCATCAACGACTGAGATTTGGAGTAAGACTTAAAAGTCTTACTCTGGAGTCAAAAGAACCCTCCCCTATATATATATATATATATATATATATATATATATATATATATATATATATATATATATATATATATATATATATATAAGGGAATCGGTCCCTTTGGTGTGAGTCATGTTTTTCTTCCCTTGTGAGACCCATTGAGAGACATACATAACACACGCACTCACTTATATGTTATGTTGTATCGATACTGACATGGGACACGACATGACATGACACGTTAATATGTTAATTCTAAAAAATATCATATTTCGACACATTTTGATATTAAATAATATTTTTAATATATATAATATAATTTATATTTAATACATATAACAGCTCATAATAAGTTATATAATTAATCAAATATTCAAATTTCATAACATAAATATAAACAAATATAATTTTTTGTACCTTATTAATTTTTCATATTAAATTTCATAACAGAAAAAAGTGATTTATAAATTATTTTTTTCATGTTTAGTTAATAAAATAAAATTTAGAACTAAAAAAAAAGTTTTAGATGCATGTCAAAGCGTTGAATGCGTGTCGGAACGTGTTAGAGCATTGAACGCGTATCCCAAAATATTGACCACGTATCGGAGCGTGTCAGTATCCAACAGTACGGTGGGGTGAGACACATGTGCTTGAGAGGGAATAAATATTTGGTGCTACTGTTGTACCAGGATTCAGTGCATCCCACCAATGAGAACATTACATATCATAGGAGAGAGAAAAATTTGGCAGAGAAAAAAACTTTTGTTGACATGTAATATTTTTATTGGTGAGATGCACTGAATCTTGGTGCAACACTAACACTAAAAATTTATTCCTTGAGAGGAGATCAAGTGTGGTGGGGGAGTATTTATCCCACTTTAGAGCCTAGTGGTTGCCCAAAGTACAAGGCCTAGAGATCGGTCAAAAGTACATTAATATTTTTTCTAATTTTTATATTTATCACTTAGTATTTTTAGTAAGTGAAATTAGAAACAACATAACATTATTGTAATAAAAAAATAATTTAATCAAATAGTTATATTTTATTTAGACTAAAGTTATTTAATGGCTTTCTTAATTCTTCATGTAGCATCAGTGTCTAAGACTAGTGAGACACGTGACATGCCAAGCATTTATTCTGGCAAAGGGTCTGAGTGATGGAATGAAGTAAAGAAAGCAAACATTCATAACTTATTAGTAACTATTTTCAGCAACAACCGTTGCCGGTTTCACGAGGGACTTGTTGGTTTGGGCTTGCCTTTTAACCGCCAAGAACTCGGTTCGATCCCAGCACAAATTGTGTGGAGAAGAATCAGAAGAAGCATTGAGGTATTCCAAAATACCTCTTTTTCAATAAAAAAATTTTAGGTTTCAATCCTTTTTAATTTTTTTTTAAAAATATGAAATAATAATAGAATACTCCTCGACCTTGCTTTCATTCAATGCACATGCAATTGGTAGTTTTTTTCCCTATCCAAAAATCAACCCAAATCTCTCCACTCCTTCCATCCTTATTTTGGATGAAACAAATTTGAGGAAAACATTTTCTTGTGTCCTTTTAAACAAAAATAATTGAAAAACTACATACAAATAACAATATTATATGTTTAAAGCATTTAGCTTAGTACTATAAGATATATACAACGACCATAATGTATTTAAACACACCACTACATAGAAAAATATTATTGAACCAAACAGTTTCATATGTCTACAAATTATTTTCTCAAGCAATCACAATCAGAAACTCTGCTTATTAGAAACACATATAACAGAGCCAAAACTAGCCATATATATAGATCAAAAGGAAATCACCTCATCCCTTGCGAAAAAGAGGCCAGAAGGACCTTTATCTGGCAACAATGCTAGCTTAACAGGACTTTCAGCACCTTCATCAATGCTTAAAAGGCCTGCATTCTGGTTTATATCAGTCTTGACAAATCCAGGGCATATAGAATTTATGCAAAAACGAGGGAACTTCTTAGCCAGCATCCTTGTATAGGCATTTAAAGCTGTTTTTGACATGATGCCACCAGAAATAACAGTTGGCCAGTTTTTGGTTTCCAATGATCCTTCTTTGTAATCTTTCAGAAACTCTCTAAGCACCTCATCAAGTTTTTCATTTGTAAGGTTTTCAATGTCACCAAATACTCCTCTTGCCCATTCATTTTGTATATTCTGAAACCACAACAGAAGAAAAATAATAAATCCTTATCTTTTTTTTTTCTTTTCGCGCCAAGATTAATACCATATAAAAAACTATTTCAACTCAAAAAGTTTAAGTTGAGAAGTGAAGCTCCGTCAATGATTTTTATATTATATCTCTCTAGCAACAAGGAAGAAATACAAAGAAAAACATACTAACATACTAATGACCCAAATTAGAATTAAACCAGGAGAAACAGACTACACCCAACAGCACCACCTTAAAGGAGGGCACATAAAAAAATATTAGTCTAAGTGGCCATAATGTAGATAAACCAAGAATTCGGTAAAGTCAGAGTTAGCTTTGTGAACAATGTCTAGTTGATTATTCTAACCAATCTTTTCCTTTTCAGAATTTTGACTTTCTGGGTTTTCAAAATCTCCATAGGAAAAAAAATTACAGAGAACATGTGAAATCAAGTTTTGCATAAATTATCAGAGAGTATATCAAATCAGTTAAAGCTACTATTTCAAGAAAAAAATAATTTAACTTTCATACGATGCATATTACTTCCAAAAAAGTATTTATTTCTTTTTCTAGTATTTGTTGAGAAAAGAAAAGAAAAACATATTGCTCATTTGCACATTATTTGATCACACTATAAAATGCATATTTGTTATAAGGGAAAATTATTTCTCCAGTCACCGGAGATAAAGTTATCTTCAGTGAGCTCAAAACGACGTCGTTTTGAGATTATAAGATTAAAAAATTATAATGATAAAGACTAATATAACCCTGCAATATATTATAATTACAAAAACACCTTGATTTCCGTCCCAAAACGACGTCGTTTTGAGCTCACTGGAGATAACTTTATCTTCGGTGAACGGAAATCCTTTACCCTTGTTATAATTATGAAAATAGGTTTACCTCCAATTGTCCTATTCTGCCGGAGATATTGACAATCCTGGGTGAAGTGGATAGTTGGAGCAGGGGAAGAAGAGCTTCAGTTACTCTTTCCACACCAAAGAAGTTCGTTTCAACACATGCTTCAGCTAACTCATAAGTTTGACGCACTATCATATTCCAGTCCGATATTTCACCCCTATTCTACAAGAACAAACTATACCATTTAGTGTTCCAGCAAATTATGCTGGATTAAATTAACAAAGCTAGAAGCTACTCAAATTGAAAATACAGGGAATGGCACATATATTCCAATAGTGCGTTCATTTAATACTCAAATTGAAAATTCCTTTCACTTAGACCACATAATGATAAAGTATCTGTTCATTTAATACATAACAGATAAGTTGTTTATGTGAATATTTTAAGAAATCTGAAAATTTTATGTTTCATATATTAGTAGGGGTAGGTTATATTTACAAACTTTTTGTTCACAAATTTTTTGTTTATAAACTCTTACAAACTACATTAAGTATGACCAGTCATACTTCAATCAAGAGAGTATGACCGGTCATACTTAGTGTAACTTGTAAAAAAAGTTTGTAAACATATCCTATCCCTATTAGTAATACCATTTATGTTTAAATGCTTTGTTATACATGAAAAAAAAAATTATATTTAAAGAAGGAAATATTACATTCAAACAAGAGAATAGTATAACAAATTAAGATATTCTCAAAACAGAATTCTCAAAATTATTATATAAGGGTGGAGTAAGCAAATTGCTCTTGCGTGAACTATGTATTAATTCCATATGGAGTTTATCTTCTGTTCGATCACAGGGCTTTCTACTTAAAAAGTAAAGAACCTTACCCTTCGACGAAGATTCTCTCCATTTACTATTCCCCCAGCAGTACCTGCGTTGTTCACCTGCATCAATATCATGTCAAACATACCTTACATACCTTCAGCAAATAAATGAAATCATGAAAAAATTCCTGGTTCTTTGTCCTATGAGAATTTGAAACCCAATGGTTCCAAATGCACAAACTCTAACAAGTTTAAATAAGGTGTTAGGTTAAGCCAAATGAATATATTTTTTTCATAGATACTAACGGATATCCGAAATCCTAACGGACTCGATTGATTCGGTTTCGGATCTGAGTCTTTCCATCTTCCCCAAGAATGACTATTCTCAGGAATTGAATCCATTATATTTGGGTAAATGAATATTATTATATTACATCTCTAATGTATCTTCTAGCTCCAAGAGCCCTTTGAGATTAAAAATTAAATCATATACAGACCAATGATATCGAGAGACATTTTAGGGATGGAAGCATAGATAGTGCTCACGTCCATTTATCTTGTGCTAAAATTAAACTTTTTATTAGAAGAATGGTAAGGATTGAATTCTAGGCAATCATTTGGTCATTAAAAACAAAAACTCTAATCTCATATGATGCTAGAGTTAGTTTAAACTTTAAAGGAAACTATAATAATACCAAGATGTCAAGTTTCCCAAATTTGGTTTTGATGAAATCTGCTAGAGAAGCAACACTGGCAGGGTCAGTGACATCAAGTTGATGAAAAACCAGAAAGTCTGAGAGACCAAACTCTTTCAAATTTTCCATGGCTTCCAAACCCCTTTTCTCATTTCTAGCTGTAAGCACCACCACAATACCACTTGAAGCTAGTTTCTTGCATATCCCATAACCAATCCCCTTATTAGCTCCAGTCACTACTGCATACCTAAGAAAGAGAGTACACCATTAGCTAAGAAGCAAGTATACCTTTGAGTACTTTGTCTAATTAAACAAACCTTATTTTCTTACGAAAATTTACAAGATTTTTATTTACCATTAAATTTTATATATGCATGACTACAATAATTTTTTCTGCATATATTTATATATAATCTATTGTCTTTATATATATATATATATATAGATTTTGAGCATGAGAGTAATGATCAAAATCATAACATTATAAAAACTTCTTAACGAAATCAAGCTTTCAGATATATGATATAATGTTTTTGAAAACGTACAAAAACACATGCTTTTATGAGAGTATAATTTCTCTATACCTTTTTCCTTCTTCTCCCATCTGATGATTAGAAGCGTCTCTTTTTTTTTCCTCGCTTGAGGTGAATGCACTGTATCAGATGGTTTTGATCTGTTTTATGAGCAAATCATTAGCCTCTAAATTCTTTTTATAATGAAACTGCTAGCTTCATTTGCTGATCTTCTTTCATTTCTTAAAATAACAAAGAGACATAAACATAAAAAATTGGGCAACATCTTGTAAAATATACTAAAAGTGGATCACTACGAAGGCAAATATATTGGGAAGAGCGAATAATGATAAATTAAACTGAAAACTGAGAATTGTTTTTAGGGGTCCCAAATGAAAATCAATTAGTTATTACCACGTCTCTGTTTTTAGCCGTCATTACGTGGACTATATGTCTGTACGTGCACAAAATTTGTAGAATTTTTTAACAGTAAGTAACTGTAAATTATTATATATAAAATCAAGCTGATTCTACTTATTAGAAAAATATAAAATTATTAACATAATATCACTCAATACCTTAATCAGTTGAATTGGTTCTTTATATAATATTATAGCCAATGTGATTAAGTGATCACGAGTTTGATCATCACCGCACTCATTCTAATAATTAAATATTATGAAATTTCTTAACATAGATAGGCTGGACCTAATATATCATCCACCCTTTAAAAAATAGACTCTCGTATGAGAGGACATGTTAGAAAAATATTAAATCATTAATGTACCTCATTTAATAACTTAAGTTTTTGGTTGAATTAATTCTTTACAGTTACAATCTCTATTGTCGTTAGATTAATAGAGGGATAAGTGAAAAATTGCTAGCATTTACTTTAAATTTAATCCGAGGCTGTGGTAAACGTTGGCTCCAGCTGGTTGATTTTCAAAAATTAGCCACGTTTTAAAAATAAGTAAATAACCGTAGTATAATAATCCTAACTTGTATAATAGAGAATTATTAATTGATTAGTGGATTAATCATGATAATTAATGGTATAATTAGGTTGAAAATCTAATTAGGTAAAAATAAGACATTTTTGAAAAAAAGTGCAAATAGTGTGAGTTTTGAGATATAATTGCTAGTAGGCAAAAGTTACCCGGAACTTCAAAATAATTAAATGTTATGAAATGATTTTAGTGAAAGTCTAAAATTAAGTTAGATGAATAAAGTGGATAAGAGGATATTATTGGAATATCGCTTAAAGTTGCTTTGACTTTAAGTAAATTTGGTATCTGCTAAAATTTCTAAAATAAGTCACATAACCATTTTCTTTCCTTCTTCTTCGTGTGAACCCGAGACCCCATAGAAGAAGAGGTTGGATTTCTAACTTCTTGTGTAGTCATCTATTTGCCTTGAAGTAAAAACCAAAGTTGCTTAGAAACTTGATACCAATCTAACCTATAATTCACAATTCCTTGAAAGTGAGTGTGTGGAGAGAAAAGGGGAGAGGAAATGGTTTTGTGAGGTGTGGGAGCAAAGGAGGCTCATTTGATCTCATCCAAGGGGTGGAGAACACTCTTGGGTTGAACCTTGGTAAGTTGATGTGTAAAAATTCTATTTTCATTCAAGTTTGATGATCATTTAAATTCAAGGTTACATAATGACATTTTTCATGGATGATGATGTTGGGATGGTATCGAGCCTTAGTTCATGTAGGAATATATGCTAAGGAACCAAAATAAACGGTAGAAAAGGAGTTAGATTATCATTTAGACTTGGTTTAATATTTTTTAAAATACCAAGTGTTAATGGCTTGATTTCTTGCAATGCAAGTAATGGGCTATTGGGGTTTATATGCTTATTTGATGTTTGATAATGGAATGTTTGTTGATCACACTTGTGACTTTGATAGGTCATCCTAGTGGAATATAGTGTGTGGATCCTTTCAGCAGGCTTGAAGACACTTTGTAACTCAAAGTGAGATCATTAGTAGGGAGCTACAAAAGGTAAACTTTTCGACCTTAGTGTTAATCCCTTGACCGTTTCACCAGACTCTGAAGGAGTTGATGTTTTTATATAGTATATGTAATTGCATTGGATAAAGATGAATGCATTGATATATGTATGTGTATGCTCTATGTGTGAGGCATAAGACGGTGATTCCTTATGCTTACTATAAGACGGTGATTCCTTATATTGTGTATATTGCAAAACGGTGATTCCTTGCGTAATTCATATAGTGTTCTCTGGCCAGCAGAATAGTTTATTGCACATTTTGCATGGATATGTTTATAATGTATTATATGTCATGTTGCTTTTATGCTGAAGAGAACTTAGGGCGGAGGAATCCTTAAAGGACATCTGATTTACTGAGATATATATGTATATCTGACCCTATGTTATGGGAATTTCAGGTGTAGGTACTGACGGTGCAAGAGCATCACAGGATACGGGACAGACTTAGTTGATATGATGCATGCAAGTGGATTTACATTTTATCATATGTACATATATATATGCCTCACATGTTAGTTGGTATTTGGTGAGCATGAGGGATGTCCTTGCCACTTTTGTTACACTTGAGGTATTGATGTTGTGATGATGTTGTAACATCCCGGGTGCTGACAAGGCCAGGGAGTGATCGCCGGTGTGCAAGGGCACAGACAAGGAGCGGCTTCTGGCAGGCTTCCAGCGATAGATGTACATGAATGAATCGAATCAACACCCGAAAGAGAGGGATTCCAGAAACTGTGCTGGTATAGGACAGTACATTTGAGGATAGCTTATAAGAATTAATTGGTACTACCTATACTAACAAGATGCATCTACTTTTGGTAGCCCGGAACGGAAGAACTCTATAGTTAAGCATGCTTGACTTGCAGTAATTCTGGGATGGGTGACCTCCTGAGAAGTTTCACGAGAAGTGTGCGAGTGAGTACAAAGCACGCTGAAAAATCTTGTGTTAATGTGTGAGGATAGTCATTGATCCTTGGAGCGGCCGAGCGTTATAGATATATAGATGGATATGTTTAGGTATTATTTTGCCAAATGATCTATATGTCATATATGTGTTCATTTGGAGATTTTTAAGTAAATGACATGTAACGGACTTGAGGTTATTTCCATTTGATATAGGTATATGAGGTAGTTTGATATTCATTGAGAAATCCATGGTTGGACCATGTGATTGAGCCTATAGTTGGCTTTATGTATGTTATAATACTTGAGTATCAAGTTTATCAGGAAATATGAAAGTTTGGGAGGAATTCCCATGCAATGCAGCAAAACGCTGTCAAAATGGCTTTACCCAGTAGGGTAATGGATTACCTTGAAGTAGTAATCGATTACCTGAAACAGGGGAGGCAAACATCAGCCACTATCTTGGCTGATAATCGATTACCTAGTTGGGTAATCGATTACCCCAGCCTTGGTAATCAATTGCCAAAAAAAGGGAAGGAAGTTTTGAGCTACTGCCTCTACAATAATGAGGCTGGTAATCAATTACCTTGAGGGAGGTAATCGATTACCCTTCACTGCAAATTTTAAAAAGGAGTTATTTTACAACCTAGGATTGGTGGTATTTCGTATAAGGGTTGTGACGAAATGTATACGCTTTTGAAATGAGTTTGTTTTACAATTAGAGTATTGAATTTAAATGGTTAAAAAATTAGTTATATTTGATAATAAGGAAAAGAAAAAAAAGTTTATCCGTAATTTTAAATTCAATTACTGTGATTGGAACTTCGCTTAATATCATTTGTGATGTTAACAAACTGCTCCGGTAACGGAGTGTTACACGTAGCTAGGCTGCAATATAGAATTTAGTGTTTGGCATAGGCTGAGTAGTTTTGTCAGCTCCGCCACTCCAAAGACAATAAAAATAACAGTAAGAGATAATGATAAAATAAACTAGCTAGTGGTAACTATGAACTAACCTTTATAGAATATTAAGAGTCAATTATAATATTCAAAGGATTTTATTATAATTATAATATAAAGACTCTTGATATTACCTATTAAACGTTATATGGCCCAATTAATTACTGATGCATTTAATCTCAATCATTGATTTGGTATATGATGGATGTACCAAATTATAAGTTATGAAATATATATATATATTAGGAATGGTCCTCTATCCCCTTCAACCCTAATATCATTCTCTCCATTAGAATACATATCAAAGTAAAGAAGGCTTAGAGAGAGAAACTACCCTAACACAATTGTTCACAAGATGATGACGGTTGTTAATCCTTCATCATCGTTTCTGGGTATATCTTTATCTCTTATATGTATGTGAAAATTATGTATTCCCAAGATCCTTTATCATGTTCTTATTTTATGATTTATGAACATGATATATATTATGTGCAAACTAACATGTGGTATCAGAGCAAGGTTTAGAAATTCATGTTTTTCCATGTATGATTATGATCGGATTCTTGATTTTTGAAAAGTTAGGGTTTTTAATTAAAATTTATGTTTTTTTCTAACAATTTTTGATATGATTCTATGAATTCATGTTTCTGAATGCACGTCGATTTTTGCTAATTATTGTTTCTGGATCCAAATCTTGAATTGATTTTGCAATTCACAAAAAGACAAAATTGTGCCTATTACTTTATTGTTCCTATTACTTTGCAATTCACAATTTTATATATTTGATTCAATGGCTACCGTACATATATTCAAGAAAGCATATTTGAATGGTTATAATGTATATTATAATAGAACAAATTACATGTATAGAATAGATCCATTACTTTTGTGCAAGGCTGATGCATGATCTTTTATATATATGTTTGGATTTTTTCTTTTATATATAAATCGAATATTGTTGCAAAATCGGCAAGTATACCATTCGTTTCAAGTAATAAAGTGATAAGTTGAGTATCGTTCCCACGAGGATTAATGCACCAAGTACTAGTTTAACTATTCCCCTTATGTTGGAAGATAAAATTTGTTTGATTTGTAAAAGTGATTGAGTGTTTGAATTTTAAAATAAAATAATAATTAAAAACATAAAATTAAAAACAATTAATTTCCAACGCAAGCAAGAAAAGATCAAGAACGCGAGAAAATATTGATGAAA